CTTTCCCTGTACGTTTTGCCATGCTGCAGTTACAGCCTATCATTTGTCATGAAGGTGAACAAGATCTCGGGGTGCGGGTGGACTGTAAGTTAAATATGAGCAGCCAGTGTGATGCAGCAACAAAAAAGGCTAATGCGATCTTGGGGTGCATCAGCAGAGGCATAACATCCCAATCGCAAGATGTCATCGTCCCGCTGTACACTGCATGGGTCAGGCCGCACCTGGAGTCTTGTGTGCAGTTCCGGAGGCCTCCCTTCGAAAAGGATGTGGACAGAATGGAGCAGGTGCAGACACCTTTGTCCCCATTGGAGGGTTTGAATTTCCTGCCAAGAGTGCTATCGGTGGACTCAAGGTGGACTAAGATCCTAGGCCCCCTTTAAGTTTGGGGACCAAGCTCCTGCTGAGCCGCGGACCCCTGGTGGTGGTCCACGTACATAACACACACGAACGCTCATACCCAGAATAAAACTTTGTTGGTCTTCAAGGTGCCACTGTACTCCAACACTGTCCCCACACCTACTGCCTTTTCTTTTTCGTTGGAAATGCAGAGAATTGAACCCGAGACCTTCTGTACGCCGAGCAGAAGCTTAAGCACTGAGACGCCGCCCCTCCCTTGGGCTGTGAGGAGGATAGACAGATCGCCAGATTAATCGCAAGGCCTTTGGTCTCCTCTTCCAAACCTTTCTTTGGGACAGGAAGCGGTTTAGCTGACTCATGCAGTAGGTGATGCGATGTGGAGACATGTTTGTTTCCCGCTGGGAGGAGCCACCTGCCAAATCTGATTGAGCTCTAATCTCTTGGCAGGCATCTCCTCTGAGAACTGCCTCCCGTTTATTTGCACCACGGCGCGGCGAGGAGAGCAGAAGGCACCTGCTTCAATGGGCATTGCCACTGAAGCCTCTGCGATGCACGCCTTGGTGAGGAGCTCTGGTCGTCTCGCGAAGGGGCTCGGCCGCTTGGTGGTCTCCAGACATGTTCCGCAGCTGGCAGAGTCCAGAGGGGCCCTGCAGTGTCCGACCCACAGGCTGTTCTTGAATAGCACAGTGAGTATCGGGAGGGAAGTATGTCGAACTGTGAGATGCGATTGTGTTTTTGTTTCAAATGAAACTTGTCATCTGGTTGCTTGGTCCTGAGAAATACTTCCTTTTGCCTGCCTCAGTAGAAAAGAGCAAGACCGGTTTCACGCAAGAGCTGCTCCCTATTTGTCAATTTCCCACTCGAAGCTGCGCGGCCGCATTTTGACTCGCGGCTTTGCCCGATTTTCCCCGCGGTTTTGTGATCCTCAAAAAACAGGAGCACAAAACCGCGGGGAAAATCGGGCGAAGCCACGGACCAAAATGCAGCTGTGCAGCTTCGAGTGGGAAATTGACCAATAGAAGCGGGGCAAAGGGAGCCGCGACCGTGGCGCAGCTCTTGCGTGAAATCGGTCCAAGAGTCCAGGAGCACCTGAAAGAACAAAATTTGTGGCGGGGGATGAGCTTTCGTGAGTCGGAGCTCACTTCTTGAGACTAATAAAATAGACAACGTGCGAGGTAACAAAACAGTTAAAATAATGATGTACATGACAGTCCAGTGTTCCCTCTAAGCTGAGTTAGTGTGAGCTAGCGAACCGCTTTTTAGCCTCCGGCTCACACATTTCTGTCTGAGCTCAGGAAGGAGGGCTCCAGAGTCTCAACTGATTTATGCAGTGGCCAAACTGCTCGCTCACAACTTTAATGCCAGTAGCTCACAAAGCAGAGATTTTGCTCACAAGACTCCACAGCTTAGAGGGAGCATTGCATGACACCCCGTTTTCTTTTATGCATTTTTGCTTGTTTGTTCTTTTGTTTGTTTACAAAAATAAAATCTTATTTTAAAAAGAGAGACGAATAAAATTTGTGGAAGGGTATGAGATTTGTGGCTATGACTCAATGCTCGCGTCTTCTGCATCCGAGGAAGTGAGCCGTGACTCAGAAAAGCTTGTAAAGGTAAAGGTAAAGGTTCCCTTGCTCGAAAGCCAGTCGAATCCGACTCTAGGGTTGCGGTGCTCATCTCCGTTTCAAAGCCGAAGAGCCAGCGCTGTCTGAAGACGTTTCCGTGGTCATGTGGCCGGCATGACTAAACACCAAGGCTCACGGAACACTGTTACCTTCCCACCGAAGTGGTACCTATTTATCTACTTGCAATTTCTTGCTTTGTAACTGCTAGGTTGGCAGGAGCTGGAACTAGAGACGGGAGCTCACTCCATCGTGCGGCACCCGGGTCTCGAACTACTGAACTACCGAAAACGAAAAGCTCGTGCCCTGCCACAGATTGTGTTCGTCTTTAAGGTGCTGCTGGACTCTTGCTCTTTCCTACATGCACTGTTTTGTCTGTCTGGCGGGCTCGATCCAAGCTGTGGTTTCCTGATACAACTGATCAGCATTTCATCACGGGGGTAAATTAGGACCCTCAAAGATCACTTCACCGATTGGGGCGGTTCGTGGTCCAAATATCGAAGGGATAAAGATTAAAAAAAAAAAACTAGTTCAAAACATTCAAATAAATAAAGGGGGGGGAATGAGTGTGTGGCCACCCAATGAGAAGGAAGCCCTCACTGGAGAAGACCCTGATGCTGGGAAAGATTGAAGGTCAAAGAAGACGGGGACGGCAAAGGATGAGATGGTCAGACAGTGTTATCGACGCAACAAACATGAAATTTAGCAAACTTCAGAGCATGAAAGAAGACAGGAGGGCCTGGCGTGATGTGGTCCATGGGGTCGCGGAGAGTCAGACTCGACTGTGCGACTGAACAACAACAAGAAGAAGCCTCGGAGAGTCAAAAGCTCCCTTTCGTCAGATACCTTTGTTTTGACCGTCGAAAGCTTATCCCGTGGAAATCTTGTTGGTCTTCACAGATAGCCATGGTCACCTGAATATTCACTATATGCCCTTATGCATGCACTTGTTGCTTACTGTGCAACTTCAGTGCATCAACCCACCCAAGAATGTGTCGTTGGCATGAGAAAAGCAGGCCATGCCGGCTCTGTTTGCGCTGAAGACGGGGGCGACAATCCATGAATGAGCCACAGGAATGTCATAAAAATCAGATAAGGATTGTCCTAGGGCGTGTATGTAAATCAGACTTATCCGTACTGCTAAGAAGGGATTAGGCTGGTTATTCTGAAGCGGTGAGTATTCCAGTCTGCCCCAATGCTTCTCCCCACAGCGGAACACATTTCATATGTCAGGGGACTTTGAACATTCCAAACCTCTCTTTCCACCCAGGCAGACGTTTGACTGTTTGTGAACATTCCCAGAAACCAGAAAAGATGAGCAAACGGCTGCGGAAATCTAACAGGTAGCTGATAGAGGACAGTCCATTTTTAGACCCGTGTTTTCGCTTTCCTCTTGGAACGGCATCCGTTCCAAAGGCAGCATTTGCTGTTGCGATAACCTGGCACACACATTAGCACATTCCTTTATTTATTTATTTTAACTTCTATAAGATATTTGTCTCCTACTTTCTAATCTCCAAACATGGCTCGCATTGATCAAGGGAGACAGGACCCCTGTCTTCAGAACTCACTAACTAAAAGGAGAAGTTACGTGATTTGGGGGAGGCCTCCGGCTCTGTGGTAGAGCCTCTGCTTGGCATGCGGTAGCTCCCAGGTTCAATCCCAGGCATCTCCAGTTAAAGGCATCAGAGAGAAGCACCAGGTAGAAGAAGAAGAAAAACAAGATAAGAAGAGATTGGATTTATACCCCACACTTCACTACCCAAAGGAGTCTCAGAGCGGCTGACAAACTCCTTTCCCTTCCCCTTCCGCACAACAGACACCCTGTGAGGTAGGTGGGCCTGAGAGAGCTCTCCCGAGAACTGCTCTTTCCAGAACGGCTCTAAGAGATCTTGTGACCAGTGTTCCCTCTAAGCTGAGTTAGTGTGAGCTAACTCACATTTTTTTAGCCTCCGGCTCATAGATTTTTGTCTTAGCTCAGGAAGGACGGCTCCGGAGCAAACTAATTTGTGCGGTAGCCAAATTGCTCACTCACACTTTTAATGCCAGTAGCTCACAAAGTAGCAGTTTTGCTCACAAGACTCCACAGCTTAGAGGGAGCATTGCTTGTGACTGGCCCAAGGTCACACCAGCAGCTGCATGTGGAGGAGTGGGGAAACTTGGAAGCCTGCTTGACATTTCACCAGCTTTTAACATTCTGATGGATGTGAAACTTTATACGTGAAGGAGCTTATCCATGGGAGTGTGGAGGAGTGGGGAATCGAACCCGGCTCTCCCAGATTAGAGTCTGCTCTCCTAACCACGACACTAAACTGGCTCTAGCGGGTAATGAAGAAATTGCCCTGACCCCTGACCCCGACGGCCCAGGCTAGCCCCTTTTCATTGGATCTCGAAACCTAAGCAGGGTCAGCCCTGGTTAGTACAACGGGGAGCGCATGCAAGTGTTAAGTGCTTCCAACTTTGGTGACCCAATGAATGAATGTTCTCCGAAACGTCCTCTCGTTAACAACTTTGCTCAGGTCTTGCAAACTGGAGACCGTGGCTTCTTGTTGTGAAATGGGAAATAATACCCATCGTTCTCTCATATGTTCCTTTTTCAGACATTTAATGCAAAGACCCAAGTTCTTTTAAGTTACACTGATACAGGGAAGAGAAGGAAGCATTCATTCTACCTGCAATAAATGACATTTAAATCTGTTTCCTCTACTCTGGGTGATCCTGCATTGGCTTTTCCTTCCGTTGTTTTACAGAACCCACCTTGGAACAGAAATTCCCCTCTGCATTGCATGCCACTTTTTCCTAATCTCCAGCCGATACCTTTCTGCCTGTAATTTCAACCTATTGCTTCGGGTTCTTTCCTCTGCCGCCAACTAGAACCGCTCCTTGCCCTCCTCCCAATGAGAGCCTTTCAAATATGTAAAGAGAGCAATCGTGTCCCCCCTCAGTCTCCTCTTCTCCAGACTAGACATTCTCGAGGCCCTAGCTGCTTCATGGCTGCCCTCACCGGTCTCAATCTCCTTCTGATTGCCTGGTTCCAGATTCCCTTTTGGTTGATGATGGAACCCGGTAATAGAGAACCTTGAACAATTCCAGTATCTTCATCGCCAGTCCTAAAAGTTGTGTACTTCCCCAGTAGTCATTCCCAGAGGTCATTTCGGGGGGGAACGCGGGGGAACGCAGTTCCCCCGGGTGAGTTGCAGGGGGCGGGGCACATGATGAAGCCCCGCCCCCTGCTTCCGGCCGCCCTGCTTCCAGCCCTCATTCAGCCAGGAGGAGGCAGGAGAAGAGGGAGGGTAAGTTGCTTCCTCCCCGCCTCTCCCCACCCCTGCCTGCCTGGGGCCAGGGAGGGCCTTGGCGGGGCTTCCTCGCACTTCCGCCGACCTTGGAGGTCCACCGCCGGGCCCCTGATGTCAGGGGGTGTGGCATATGCTAATGAGTTATGCTAATGAGTTCCCTTAGCTCTTTTTCTACGAAATGACCCCTGGTCATTCATGTTGTCTTCTTGATATTCAGCTTTAGTCCTGTGTTAGCACTTTATGCTTTAATCTACCCTGGGAGTTGTTACAAGTCTTGATTATTTTTTTGCCAGTAATCTGGTGTCATCTGCATATTTCAAATTGTTAATATCATTTCCACAAATTTTTCACTCCGCCTTAAATCTCAGTCTAATCCGGCTTTCCATATGATATGTTCTCCCTATAGATTGAATAGATAGGGAGATAAAATACATCTTTGACTGGCACCTTTGCTGACTGGAAACTTTTCTGTTTCTCCCTATTCTGTCCTAACAGTAAAAGTGTAAAAGTGATTGCACCGCTTGGGAACACTGATTATAATGTTGCTGAGTTCAACATTTGTATAAATAGGGAATTGGCCAAAAAGACTCACACAACCACTTTTAACTTTAAAAGGGGTAACGTCTCTGATATGAGGGGACATGTGGGGAGGAAAATGAAAGGAAAAGTTGAAAGGGTCAAAACCATTGGGGAAGCTTGGAAACTATTTAAAACTACAATCCTAGAAGCTCAAAAATATATATATTCCACAGGTTAGGAAAGGCACAAACAGGTATAGGAAAAAGCCTGCATGGTTCACAAACAAAGTAATGGAAGCTGTAAAAGGTAAAAAGGATTCCTTTAAGCAGTGGAAAGCCAGTCACAGTGAGGCTGATAAAACGGAACACAAGCTATGGCAAATAAAATGCAAGTCTGTAGTCAGGCAGGCAAAAAGGGAATATGAGGAGAATATAGCAAAAAACGTAAAAACAAACAATAAAAATTTCTTCAAATACATTAGAAGCAGGAAACCTGCCAGGGAGGCAGTGGGGCCCTTGGATGACCAAGGGGTAAAAGGAGTACTGAAGGATGATAGGGAAATGGCTGAGAAGCTAAATGCATTTTTTGCCTCTCTCTTCACTGTGGAAGATGAGAAGTGTTTGCCCACTCCAGAACCGCTGAGTTCGGGAGGGGTGTTGAAAGACCTGAGTCAGATTGCGGTGATGAGAGAGGAGGTCCTAAAACTGATAGACAACTCAAAAACTGATAAATCACCAGGCCCAGATGGCATACATCCGAGAGTTCTGAAAGAACTCAAATGTGAACTTGTGGATCTCCTGACAAAAATATGTAAACTTTCCTTAAAATCTGCCTCCATTCCTGAGGACTGGAAGGTAGCTAATGTCACTCCCATCTTTAAAAAGGGTTCCAGAGGAGATCCGGGAAATTACAGGCCAGTCAGTCTGACGTCGATACCGGGTAAATTGGTGGAAACCATTATTAAGGAAAGAATTAGTAGGCACATAGATGAACAAAACGTATTGAAGCAGACTCAGCATGGGTTCTGTAAGGGAAGATCTTGTCTCACTAACAGGTTAGTGTTCTTTGAGGGGGTGAACAAACATGTGGACAACGGGGACTCAATAGATATTGTTTACCTTGACTTCCAGAAAGCTTTTGATAAAGTTCGTCATCAAAGGCTCCTAAGTAAGCTCAAAAAACATGGGATAAAAGGACAAGTCCTTTTATGGATCAAAAACTGGCTAATT